GTTGCAGATACCACACACTGAAAACAGAAAGGATTAGAAAATACTGTTGCATAAACTGCTTGTCAGACCACTGATATGGAAATTTTCGAGACTATTTTCGTATATTATAAATGACGAACTTTTATGATTTCATCCATAAATGTGATTTTAGCAGTGAGAGATCAAAGGATAGCACATTCATTCGCTAAACTACTGACTCATGATCATTATTAACGTTTTTGAAATCATACCAATGCTATTATTCCCTTCAACTTGAACCACCGTGTATGGTTCTGTTTCCGGCACTTGCAACTCTCTTCGGAGTTGTTCCGGAAGATCCCGCAAATCCGAGCGGTGAAATACTTCCGATGTTGCCTCAGCCAACGTCGTTTGCGTGGTTAGAACCGAAATTTGGGTCGTCTTCGATTCTGAAATAGGATTCAATTTAATATTATGTAATTAACTGATACTAACCAATTAATAAAGCTAATACTTCTTCTGATCATTACTTTGCCATACATTGCTGCAAAATTAAATGTTACAGGACAATTTTTTCATTCGTTACATTCTTTGCTGATTTTTTAAATTAAATGATTAATGAGTGGCCAAATAAACATTACCTGCAATTTGACATTTGTAGTATGCACCATTTTTGGTTTGTTAAATGAGATTTTTCCTACAACTCTTTTCTTCACATTTTAATCTTCACGTTTCACACTCTCAATTAATATTATTATGCCATTGTGGAAGCAATCAAAAGAGTAAAATTATAGGATTTTTATACTACATTATAATGGTAGTAATATCGACAACACTAAACGAATTCTAAATTGAAACATTAGCAAGAATGCACGCACAAATTTTTTGTTTGTCCTTTTTTTAGTGTTCAATGAGATGTTTATATTTGTAATGAAAAAAGTAAAAATTTTTATTTCTTTTCCCCTTTCAATTGCATGTCTGAATTCAATGATTTTTTTATGAGTACATTAACAAAGTTATTGAATTGTAAAATTGAATTCCAAAAATGAAATTAAATATTAATTTCATTTAATATTATTGAATGTAATTTTATTTCGTTACTACTCCATTTTCTCTTCGGTCAACTTTATTTTCTTTACACGAATTGTTAATATTTTGATCATTTGAAGCCTTCTTTCAAACTTGTCATTTTTAAAAAATTTTTAAAAATCAGTATGGCATGTGGATATAAGTTGTGGATATAAGGATATAAATACATGTGGATATAAGTTTGACAATTTTCCTTAAATTTTCGATTGTCACTAAATCTTAATTGCTTTCATTTTGTTAGGAAGAGTGCGTGAAATAAAATTTTATCAACAAAACACGATTGTAAATGCATAATTAAACATTTGTATCATAATCTGAAGGGTTTAGAGTTAATTTGCTAAAATGTTTCATTCAATCAAACCTCAATTATTCATTGTCTTATGTCAACCAGTTAGGCGACAGTTTTTTTGCATTTGCAAGTGAGTTCTGCTTTTGTCTACTATCATCAGCCAAGCACTATCAATTATACATATTATTTTGAAGGGTGAAAGGTCAATTCGATAAAACGTTCCATCTAATTCAATGCTTTATCCCCAGGTAATGAAAACTAATACAGTTACTTGAGTCATTTCACAAATGATCACATCAATGATGAAGTCAAGGTATTCTACTCATAGGCACAAACTTTCCTGAAATTTGATTAAAATTATAAGATGAAATTACCATAATTGTAGTAGACCAAAAATGGTATTTAAATCAACTTCAAACAGTTATATTTGGCTTAATGAATTTGATCAATTCGAGTTAGACAGTTTTTTAATTTGTGTTAGACAATTTTTTAATTGGTCTAAGAAGATTCAAAAAAAAAGCAAGATTTTTGGCAGCAATTCTGACGTGACCAGTTGGTATGGCTCGTCTGATTTAATAATAGCCGAAAAAAAAAAAAAATTATCGAAAGCCTTACATATTAAGCTGTTTTTTCCTTGGTTTTTTAATCAACTATTTTTATAATAGATATTATTATTGTACGATTTTTTGCTTGCTTAAAATCAAAATAATTTTTAAATAATTTCTGGTTTTTTTGAAAATCCAAATGTACAGGGAAAGGTAATTGATCTATTAGGACTACATTTTTCATAAGGAAGATATTTATAGGTTAAATATTCATAGGTTAGATGGGAATAAAAGGTCAAAGGCCAATAAAACTAACACTAATATCAAAATGAATTGAATTGGTATAAAATAATCGTAAGTGGATGATATTTTTTCACATTTTCATAAACATCCCATTCATCCAAAAATAAAATAAACTTAGGACAAAAATTATGGGAACAAATATGCTTCCAATTATTTAATGCAGTTAAACCAAACTATTTTCCTTACTGTTTATTGTTAATTCTTTATTGCTTATGATTATTTAACGGATAAATTGATGAAGCGATACTATCCAATAACATTCGTCCCGCGATTTCTCGAATTATCGATACATTCTCATCGTATTTATTCACTATTTTCCTTACTGCTTATTGTTTATTGTTTTTGATCATTTAATAGATAAATTGATGAAGTGATATCATCTAAAATATTCGTTCCGAGATTTCTTGAATTATCGATACATCTTATCGGATTTATTAATTTATGAATTATTGAATGGATATGGATGGAAATAAAACAGTTGGATGGCGGAAGCTCGTCCTTTTAGAGAGAACCGTTTGCAAAAAACTTTAGTAGGTATTGTAAGTAACGTGTACAGTTTACGAGAAATTCTGATAAATATCGTAACGTGTACGTTTACGGAAAATTTTGATGACTACTGTAACGTGTATATTTAGGGAAAATTGTGATGAGCGTAACGATCAATCCTTTCTTTAATGAATCCTTCGCAACTTGTATGTTTGGCATTATTTTTTAAATATACATTTATAAATAATCAAATTATGCGAATAACAATCGCATTTAGCAAAGTCACATAAGCAATCGATTCTTTCGCTTTTATAGCAATTTGACCGTAAAAGTCACTTTCAGAAGAAATAGCACAAGATTAGCATAAAGGCTTGTGATGAGTGGAAATGATACATGAATATATGAATTGGAGGATACATTTGTCACACATGATAGAGAAAATGGACAGATTTCTTTTTGGATGTAT